CGGGCACATTGCTGAAAGCCAGAGGTCGAAGGTCACTGTCTAAAGGTGACACTGTGACCTTGAGGTGGCTGCATAGGCTGACCTGGGATCAGTGCTGTGTGTCTGCTGTCGCCTCGGGGTGACAACAAGGCGATCAGAACAGTCCTGCACCAAACCTGCACAAATCAAAGAGGCTTCTGTCAAATCCACAGTTTCACTTCTTAATGCAGGTCAGAGTGAACTGGAAGTTATGGTACGAGTCCACACGAGGGACCACCGGGCTCCCAGCAGTGGATGCTTCTCATTCATACAATCTCTCTACAACGACCCAATAATCAGCATCAATAGAATTTTCATTCCATGTATTTTAAAAATAAGCCAGAATCAAACAATAGTTTTTAAAACTAAACACAACTTTATTCAGAGATTATGGTTTTATCTCAAGTCCACGCTCCACTGAGAGATTTACAGGAAAGCCAAAGTTATGTTTCTCTTTTGTAAAGGGACATTTCACCGTCCCGTGTGTGTTCAATGTAGTTTGACTCCTGCACCTCCACCGTCACAATTTCAACTTGCAGGGCAACCAGTTAAAGATGGAGAGCAGGAGGGCAGGGGGGCCAGTGCCCTGCAGGCCAGCCCAGCTGAGCCCCCAGCTCTGAGTGCATCACTGTATTCATCATGTGCTCTAATCAATAAAGTTGTCTCTCCTCCTTGCTTTAACACACACGCACACACACAGTGCAAGGATTGCTGGTGGGCGGCAGCCTTCTGTCTCCTTCATCTTGTCCTGATCAATATTAAATGAGGTGATAAAGATATAAAGCTGAGACCACAACCTGAGACAGTACCGACAGGAAGTAGAATCCTGAAGTCCAGTATAAATTACAGACAGTACAAAAAGATGAACACATCCACTGTGATGTCACCCATTTTTTTAAAACATCAACATCAGCACCAGAAGTGACCATACTTGGATGAAATTGTTTTGTATCAGGCTGTTTATAAACATGTTTATTTCTTGGGGGTCTATGGGGCGTGACTCACTCCTAGCGCCTCTAGTGGATGTTAGCAGAAATGCAGCTTTTGGTGCATCTCTATTGGCTTAATTTTGGCGTATCCTTGCAGAGCTACAGTCTCACAAAATGTCGCAAAGACCTTCCATGGACAGAACTTAGACTGTGCAACACATGTGGGAAAAAGGCATCTTCCTTCCCTGCCTTTCAAAATAAAAGTGTTTTACTAGTGTAAAACTAGTGGACTAGTAGTAACTCCAGGTAAATAACCAACTGAATAAACTTGCAGAACTTGTAGGTTGTTGTATTAAATACAAATCTCATCAGTGGTGTTAGTAGTTAATAGACAGAAAACGAATCTTGTCTTAATATCTGAATATTTTTTCTTGTTTTTGAGATACATTTCAAAACAATCCAGCAAACCCAGTCCACTCTGGGCCCACAGTGTGCTTCAGTAACAGTGAATGGGCTCCTGAGCACCGCATTGCAGTGTAGTTACTAATAACGAGGCCTGCAGGGTTTTGATCTTCTGTTTTATTTTGTTAAACCATCTTTCAAAAACTGAAACATAAAGTAACAAAAAACTGCTGAGTTCACAGAAACTAAGATTTGCCTCTGCTGGGTGCGACTTTCAGCTAAATCCTCTTAAGGGAGGGAAGCGTTGAGTTAAAAAGAAAGGAAGAATGCTTTAGAAGCTCAGCTCCTGTTTCCTGCTGTCCTCCTCCAGGACCCCCCCCCCCCCCCCCATTTGACTGAAGGCCTGATGTCCCCCTACCCCAAATCTGGCCTATCAGCTTATTAAGTCTGATGTCATTAGCCAAACGTTACTTCAGTTCCCAACAGACGTTCACAGCTACGGCCAATTTAGAGTCACCAGTTAGACTGATGTTCATGTCATTGGACTTTGGGAGGAAGTTGGAAAGAATATTCAAACTCCACACTGAAAGCCTGCCTGTGGATTATAAGCCAGGACCTTTCTGCTGTGAGGCATCACACCACCTCACCTCCTGTCCTCTGTATAACTTTGGAGTCTGTGTGAAAAGTCCTGATCCCACACTTCATGTGCCCACTGAAATCTGAGTGATTCATTTCTGAAAAAGCACATGAACAGAGAATGAAGAGTGAAACCCAGTATGTACTTTTAGAGTTTTATATTGTATATTTTTTTTACTGATCATAAAATAATGTCACATCACAGCAGCCCTGAAACGACACAAGACCCAAGAAATTAAAAGTTTTGGATTTTTTTTTTAAACCGTTTATTTTTTTTATGTGGGGGTGAGCTTTTTAAAGCTTATGTCTCTCAAATATAACCAGGTCTGCATATGTCTGGGTGATCAGAATTTGTTATTTAAGTTGTTTATTAAAACATTCAGATACACACAAGCTTCAACCAGGTGAAGCCAACCTGAAAGCTGTGAAGCTGCAGTTCCTCTGACGTCCACCAGAGGCTCCAGCAGTGAGTCAGTATCCATAGACTCCCATGTAAAAACTTTATAGCAGAAATATATATATTTAAAGTTGATACACAAACAGTTTGGTCTCTTATAGATAAGAGCCTTCATAACTTCTGTAAGGAGGAAAAAAATATCTCAACTGTTTAAATTGCATTAAAGCTTAAGGTTTGCATTATTAGGGGCGTGGCCTGTTTTAGTGAGATGTAATATTTTTTATCCCACTAATATTGAGGCTTCAAGAAACCAATAGATGACGTCACAGTGGCTACATCCATCTTTTATATACAGTCTGTGGTTCTCCCCTGCTTGCTTGCTTAAACTGCTGGGTACACCTGACAGCTGCTGAGGATCATGGGTATTGAAGTATTTACAGGCGTCCCCTAAACTGAAGCAAGATGAAAACCTTCAAAAGGGAGGTCAGTCTGTCATCTGCGCGCGCGTGTGTGTGTTTAAGTTCCTCCCTTTAATAATAAAAATCCTGCTGGGTCCGGGGCTGGTGTGCGTGCAGGGCGCGTGTGTTTTCCAGCCAATGAGCTTCCTGCTCGGCCGCTGAGGCAGTTGACAGATTTGGCTTCATCCTCAGCGGCCACAATAGAAATCTAATTAAAACTTACTGGACCTCATTACGGGGCTGCAGGTGCACGCGGGCCGCCGGCGGTTAATCCCGCTCAATTAGCGCACGGCCCCGCGCACACCAACAATGCAGCGGGTCGGCATCGGGGGCGCGCAATCATCGCGTTCCCGGGAGGAAATAATGGGGGTCCTGAGATGTCTGTGATCAGAAACTCAGAAACAGGATAAACTTTAATGTTTCCGGTCTTTCTGCTTTTTCTAACTTATTTTTTTTATCAGATATGTTTTTATATCATTAAATTATTGATACTGAGAAATGTCTCTGTATGCACTGGAAGGCTTTGTGATATCTCTGTGTTTGTGGGTGTGGGTGTGAATCACAGTGTGTTTACCTGCAGATGAAAGTCAGCCTGTAACTTAATCTAATCTCATGAGAGAAAAACTTTGGCACAAGGTTTACGAAGACAAATAAATAAATAAATAAATAAATTTATAACAAATCCACAAAATATTTAACACAACTGCTGGTACAGAGAAAGGAGGAGGGGTAGGAAGAAAAGGAAATCAAGGAGTTGGTGAGAGAGGGTGAGGTGAAGAAGAAGAAAAATTAGGCCAGAGGAGGTAAAAGAAGAAAAGTAAAGGAGCAGGAGTAAGAGAAGGAGAATGGAGAGGAAAAGGCGAACGAGGAGAATGATGATAGGAAAATAAAGGAGGATAAGTGTGAGAAAGATGGGGAGAGGAAAAGGAAGCAGAAGGAGGAGAAAAGGAAAGGAAAACAAGCAGTGAAAGACAAAGAGGAGAATTCAAAGGAAAATGAGGAGAGGTGGAAGAACCGTAAAAGAGGAGAAACAGTCAGGAGGAAGATGCTAATTTGAAGGAAAAATGAGGAGGACGGGAAGAAGTAAAAGAGAAAAAGTACAAGAGGAAGAAGAGGAAGAGGAGGAGGAGGGGAAAGTGCAAGGGGAAGAGGAGAAGAAAGAGTGAGGTGGAAAAGGAGAAGCATGAATTGACGAGGAAGAGGAAAAGAAGGAGGACAAATAGATGAAAGGGTGGATGGATGAGGAAGAAGGAGGAGAATGAGGAGGTGAAAAAGACATGGAAGGAAGAGAAGAAGGAGCAGGATGTGAATAAAAAAGGGGGAAATGTAGAAGATGAGAGGGGAGAGAAGGGAGAAAAGGAGGAGAAGGTGACAGAGGAGGAGGAGAAGTAAGAGGATGAAGACGAAGAATGAGAAGAAGAAGTAACAGAAGAAGAAAACAAGGAAGAAGACTCCTGCAGTATGACTCTCGGTCAGATTACTCCTGCAGGAGGATTATTGTCACTCTATACTTCAATCTCCTTCCTCTTTTCTCCTCCTCCAGCAGTTGGTAGTACTGTGTCCTCCCTCGGGTGTTCCCTGATTGTCTGTAGATCCTCAACACGTGCAGAGACAACAAGACTGCTGTGACTCCCAGAGGAGGAAGAAGATTAAACACCTCCCTCCTCTGCCATAATATCTTTCATTATATTTTAATTTTGTATTTCACAAACACTCTTATTCTGAAGCGTTTCCAGGTCTCATTTTATTGTTTTATTTTGAAATTGACTCTCTAATCGCTGGTACACATGCGCAGAACAACAGGCTGGTGCATCTGTAAAGCTCATTAAATCACATTAAATCCTTTAGTTGCAGTTTGCTTGTTTATGATCTTCCACCGCTTTTTATTTGTGCCTCATTAACATGACAGTCAAACTTTAAACGATCTCCGTGTCGCGTGACGTGCTTCCACCTGCTGCTCTCAGCAAACCGTTATCTTATTAATATTAATTATCATTATAATAAAAAAAAAAACTCACGCACGATCCCTGAAACCATTGTCTGCGCCCGTGCACGGCGGTTAAACCCAGATTAAACTCAGATTACTGCAGCATATCTGCGCAGACTGAGGCTCGGGATCAAGGAGAAGCAGGCAGAGGCGAGTTTTATAGAAACGTTATAACTTTATTATTTAGTAGAAAAGTGGCACCAAAGCTCCAAGTAAATAGAATAAAATCTCTTTATGTACAAAATACAAATTTCACGTGACAAAACGAAACGAATAAATAAAAACACAGCAGAGAGAGGGTGTGGGTGTGTGTGGAATACATAATGAATGCGGGCAGCTCCTTTCAGTCTATTGTGGGAGCGTTGAAACTCAATTTCCACGCTCTCTTTTCTGCAGAATCACTCTACTAATTGTAAAATTGACTTTTCACCTCGGACACGAAAACAGAAAAACTGAGACTGACTGTAACCTGCAGACTCTGGGGGAGAGAGAGGGGAGAGGGGAAAGTGCAAAGGTTTTTGGAGAAATTTACAAAACCCAAAACTAATAATAAAAACAGATCAAATTCAGTTCCTCTCATTTCCAGTCCATCCGTAGAGGCACGACGACGATGGTGATGAGGTGTGAGTAAGGCAAATAGCGGCTCTCAGTCTTATTCCAGCGGGACCTCCGGGCTCAGGGATCAGTAGATGCCCGGCACGAAGCTGCGGAAGCCGTACAGCGCGTCCTGCCGCAGGTAGCTGTAGTCCTCGGGCGCGGCGGGGCTGCCCGGGCTGGAGGCGCAGTAGGCCGGGGAGGAGGAGGACGAGGAGCCGCTGGAGCTCCAGGAGCAGGCATCGCTGCCCGGGCTCGGGGCCTCGGCTAGGCACGGGCTGAGCAGCACGGGCGGCTCTCCAGCCTTGCCCGCCTGCAGGTCCGCGATGCGGATGGTCTCGGACAGCGCCCAGATGTAGTTGTGCGCGAACCGCAGAGTCTCGATTTTCGTCAGCTTCGTCTCGTCCGGGAATGCGGGCAGCACGCCGCGCAGCGCGTCCAGCGCGTCGTTCAAGTTGTGCATGCGGTTACGCTCGCGGTCGTTGGCTTTCAGGCGCCGGTTCTTCTTCACCACCTGCACCGTGGCGTCGCTGCGCGCGCGGCCGCGACGCCGCTGCTTCTTCTGCTGCTGCTCGGGCTGCGGGGACGCGCAGCGCGGGCTGCGGGACTCCTCGTCTTCGCTGTGCGGGAAGAAGTCGCAGCTGTTGCTGTCGATGTCGGAGTAGAGCGAGTCCATGACTGCGGGGAGAGGAGAGGAGGCGTGAGGGATCCACGCGAGAGGAATTCACCTGAAGTCTGTGTCAGTTCGGAGAGGCGCGCGTGTCTCTGCGTGTTTTCTGCTCTGGATCAGCTCGTGCGAGCCGGTGAGCCTGGCACACGACCGGCCTCAGCCCGCTTATATAGCGCGCGGAGGACAATGACCGGCCCCCTGCCCCCGCGCCCCCCTGTGACCCCCCCGGCCTGGCATCAGCGCGCAGGATGAGGGGATGAATGCTGCGGCAGGTCTGCCCCGTGCCGCGGGAGAAGCTCATTAACATAATGACGCCCGCGGTGTTTGTCCGCCCCGCACAGAGAAGCGTGCCGGTAATCACGGCCAGCCAATCAGAGCGCGCGGCCGGCCACGCGAACTACACGCAATGCCCCCCCGCGAGACAGAAAGGACCAAACCCACTACGAGAGTTTAAACCAAAAACATGAAAAAAGGTGGAAGAAGAAAGCAGAGGCAGAGAGACCTCCACCTCCTCCACCCCGCCGGGCTGAGACACGCTTCGGAGGATCCATCCATCCATCCTCTGCTTACTGCTCCACAAACACAGAAAGAGGAGCAGCAGCAGGAGGAGAAAGGAGCTTCATCCTAACAAAGAAAACTAGTCCTTTTTACCCGGAAGTCTTCGTCAGTGCTCGGCTTTTTTCCTTAACGTGAAGGAAACACGTCTTAAAGTTTAACTTGCACCTGTTCATTCTGTGCACCTCAGTAGCCATACAAAAAACTACTGTTCACCTTTAAATCCGACAAACGTGCAACTATGAAGCCTTTCACAATAAAAGTCTGACCACCAACAGCTTTTAAACATAAGATTAACAACTAAAGTTTCTTTCCCGTCACAGAATATATTTTTTATCTTTACTGGGAAAATGTGAAAAATCAAACCTGATTTCTGCATAAATGTCAGTTTGGATAAAACCAAAAAGTGTATCTCAAGTTTGTTTAATTTCACCAGAGATCATTATATACCCTTGTGTCCAAAAACCTAAAAGTATGTTAACAAAAATAATTACAGTCTCCACCAGAATTACAAACATGGCCTCAGAGCATGACACAGAGACACTACATTAGCATCACACTCCACAAAATACAATCAAATCATCTCTCTTCTTAAACACTTTAAAAAAATATAGAGAGTTTGGTTGATGGGGGGCTCTGCTAGGGGAACATTTGCACTTCTGACCTCGGTGTTTCTAAAACTCTGTATGGCAGCATGTAAAATAAAACGGGAGCTACAACAGCGCCCTGAGGTGCTCCAGAGTTCACCGGCAGACATCACTAAGAGAGCTGCTAGAACGCTTCGGTAAGAGATAAATAGAATGTAAACCACAACCCCAGCATCTGAACACAAGCGTTAAAAATGACCTCGATCTTTGGGTCATTTTTATCTGACACGTCGGGCTTCGGCTGAACTGTTTCACCTTGTGAAGTCTGGCTTTTTTGTCCGTCTTTTCATCCCTTCAGGCAGCAGTAAACCCATCCAGCGTGAGCGCATACAGACCAATTTTCTTTAAGTGTTTTTTAAAGACATCTTTATGAGACAGGCATACAATTTTCCATTAATTATTCCATTTATTCAGTATGCAGTCCAGCGGAGGAGAAGCAGAGACCTGCAGAGTCTTTCTGCTGCTTTCTTCTGCATGAGGAGGAGGGGGGGGGACACTCATTTATAAATAATTACACAATGTTTAGAGTCTTCAGGCATGTATAATATATCAAAGCGATTATAAGGTGAATTGTTCCATTGTGGCTGTCCGCCCTGCACTTCTTTTCACTCCTCTCCTGGTTTGTCCCTGGTCCAAATTCAGCTTCTCTCGCCTTTTGTGCTGCTTTCTTTCTGCCTCAGCCACTCTATTGGCATCATTCTTATTCAAATGGGCCCCAGCAGGAACAAAACCAAACCCAGGCTGCACACAAATCATCTCTGCCCCGGCTGCAGGGCCGGCACAAGCCTCCGTGAGGCCCCAACAACGAGCCAGCAAATCCTATTTCACCCAAAGAGGATAAAGCACGCTTAATACAAGAAGAAATCCAGTTTTCTGCATTTTACTGAAGTTTAAAAACAAATGTTTCTGAGGGGACGTGTCTGCAGAATTTTACAGACTTCATGTTTGCTTTAAGGTTGGAAACTCTTTAAGGAGAAAGAGAATAAAGGAGCCTTTAAATAAAGAACGATGAACCCTTGGGGAAGATTTTGTTGAATGCAGAAAGAAAGAGTTAAAGAAGGAAAGAAAGGGAGTGGAAAGTAGAGAGGAAATAAAGAAAGGTAAGATGAGTAGAAACCCATGAAGACGAATAAGAGATGAAATTCAGAAACAAACAATTGACTGCAACAGAGAAATAAATCTTCCAGAGGTTAGTTTTATGTCTGCAGAATACAACTCAGGGAAGTTTTTTTTTATGAAGGAAAGAGAAAAAGAGAGAAGATGAAATATTGTCAGGTCAAAAAGAAATAGTAAGAAAAAGGAGTGTAAGTGTACAACAAATCCCTTTCTCTGCAGAATTTGTCATGTTGCTTAGTTTGGTGCATGATTTTAAAATTCTGCAAATAGGAAGAAAAGAAAGGAAAGAAGGTTGAACCTTCACTGCTGAAAGAAAAGATCTGAGGACGGAAAAAGGAAAAAGTGGAGTTAATAGTAATAGTAAATAATTGAACTTAAAAATAAAGAAGAAAGTGTGGGTTTGAATGAAATAAAAGCACCTGTTTAAGAAGAAGAAGAGGAAAATGGTGTGCAAAAGAAAGAAAGGTAAACCCCTCAGTGAAGAGTTTGACTTTAGATTAACAGAAGAAAGAAAAAAAGAGTTAAAGAAGGAAACAAAGACAGAAAACAGGAAAGAAAACGATCCAGAGGAAAAGAACAACAAGGAAGGAAAGGAAGAAAGAGAGTCCGATTAATAAGAGATACAAACAGATGACTGTGAAAAACAGAAAGAAGAAATTCTTAAATCAAATCATTAAAACTCTTCAAATAAAATCAGAGGTCTGTGTCACTGACCTGACATGGACTTTATAATTTCCTCCAGGGCGCTAAACACCACCCAAACACCAGCTCTTCCCTGCAGACAGGAAACTCTCACCTTTATAGTTTTTACTTCTGATTCACATATAGTCTGTTTAATCGCAAATCAGATTAAGATTTATTTGTTAAACATAAAACACACTTTGACTAAACTCAAACAATAACAATAATCTAATAAAGCCAGAGATGGGGCATGTTTTAACCCCAAACACCATCTTTTTGTAAACCTAACTAAGACGTTTTTAGTAGGTTCAAGCAAAACAAACACAAAGATCCAAACTGAACACAGTTTCTAAACCTCCTACCTCTGAGTACACTCTTTGTAGGTTTCTAAAACAGGACTGTTATCTCTTTGTAGTTGGTACCTTCTCCGTAATGCTGAGACCAAAGATGGATGTAGTTTCCAAGTCTAAAAAGAGAAGCTAGGTGTCTTAAATCTGTTCTGTAGAAAGACTTTGGTCCTATAGAAGTCTGTGGAGAAAACAGTCCTCGGCGCTGACCTCAGTAAAACTTTCCTGATGAGTTTTTGGGCTCAGTCACTGAATAAAACATGAAGTCCATTTTCCACGTTTGGTCATTCGAAGTTTCAGAAAGGAGGATAATCCTGCTCGTTCTCGCTGGGTGAAGACTTTTCGACAACACAGTGGTGAATCTGTTTTTCATAGCAGGATGTAAACATGGCTGTAAATTTCTGTTAATACAATTTTGGAACCAGCGTCATGTGCATATTAGAGGAACTGCAGGGTCTGGGACATTTGGTTGGATAATTTGATAGAAAAAACTAACATCTAATGTATCTGCAGCTCAATAAATACATATGAGAAGAGGAAACTGAGGGGGATCAGAGTGTAAAAGCTCACTATTGTCCCTGGAAGCAGCTTGACCAAATAAATGTACCATTTTCTAGTTTTTAACCCAGAGTCATTTCTAAAATGGTCTTTTTGATGCAGATGCTGCGCTGTCTTGTCTGAACCACACACAGAGCGGTCCTGCAGTGAGGAGGAGGAGCAGCTTAAACCCCAACAGACTGCAGAAGAAGAACAAGGTGGAGGTAGGTTTTTTATTTTACAGCCTCCATCACTTCAAAGTGATCAAACAGCTTGTCGAGCTGCAGTTAAAGTGTATGGAAACACTTTACGGCTGACATCCTTTTGGCTGAGAGCTGACGGACATGTGGGTGGTTTAGATTTGCATGATGTTGTTTCTGAGTGAGGCTGAAGGATGAAGGTCATCGGTGTGAATATGGAGGTTTTTGGGGGTTTTTTGCTTTAAACAACCTGTTGAATAGCAGTCATGAAATGCAGACAGGTGGGGAGGACCTGGGTTGACCAGTGACCTCTAAAGCTATACACCTGGAGCTTCTACAGCTCACCCTGGACCACTTCCCAGCTGGCTGTTGCTAATGCACTAATGTAGCACACAAAACACACCTAAAAAGAGGTACAATGAAAACACTTACCATGCCCAGTGAGGGGATCATCACAGTACGCAGTATAAAGAAGTATATCTACTTCTAATGGGAGGAAACAGCTGTGAAAGTGACCACGATGATTATTTTATTTCAGTGGAGAGTAATTATTAAAAGACTTTTCTCTTTTCTTTCTTTAAAAAAACCCAACAAAAAACATGTTTTATAAAGGCTTGCTTTGTAAAATAACAACTAACACGGCTGCTATAACCTGGCTGTAACTGGTACTTTGTCTGTATATCTGCATGTCGCTAAATGGTAGTCCTTGACGTCTTTAAGAAATTAAATTCTCTCGATAATCACAGTAATGTTTTGGTTTTTATTATTATTTTTCATTTTTACCATATGGTATGATGTGTTTTATGTAAAGTGTGTTTTTTATTATGAATTTGTGTTGATTCAGAGAGAAAACAACACGTACGTTGTATTTTGTGTTGTATTTTGTATGGGAAGGTTCTGTATGAACACAGATGAGGACAGGAGAACAAAAAAGACAGAAGAAAATACAAGTAAAAACAGGAGTGAATGAAAGAAAGGGAGCAGAGTGAGAGGTCCGTCCGGGGTGAAGCTCTGACAGGATTAAGTCTCAGCGACACGAGATGTGATTGAATTTCAATGAAGAGAAACACGTGAGAAAATGACACAGAAAGAAATGAACTAAAGGACCCCCCCGACTCCCAAACACCCTCCAAAAAAACAGAGAAGAGAGAAGCTGGAGGACTCTCGAGGCAAAAGAGGAATCAAAAAC